AAGTGGCATCCACGCAGAGAACCGGTTGTTCACATATTTGAATCCCACCACTGGATAGATAGATAGATAGATAGATAGATAGATAGATAGACAGACAGACAGACAGATAGATACAGTGGTGGGATTCAGCCAGTTCGCCCCAGTTCGGCAGAACCAGTAGTTAATTTTTTGTTGCCCAGGCCCAGAATGGACTTCCAGAAGTGGCATCCACACAGAGAACCGGTTGTTCACATATTTGAATCCCACCACTGTGTAAGATTGCTCTGAAATAAAAACCTTTCACCTTGGGAAGAAAGATGGCCTAAATAGAAGTCAAAGCCTACAATGATCTTGTCTTCATATGTTATGTTATGTTATGTTATGTTATGTTATGTTATGTTATGTTATGTTATGTTATGTTATGTTATGTTATGTTATGTTATGATTCCTTATATCTGTTATTCTGTTATATTCTTCTATAAAGTGCACGCTGGAATTTAGTTTCTGAGAATTTGAGAAAGTTTCAGGAGAGACAGGAAACATTCAAAACAGTAAGTTCTTGTTTTGAGGTACTTGGGCATTTTCCACCTCTGCTTTTTAGGTGGTAAAGGCGTTTGTGGTGTTGTCTACGGGCTACTCAACACACAGCAAGGAGAAATTAACCATGGAACTTCAGGAACATGTCAAAAAAATGACTGCTCCATACAAATACCCAAGAAAGGTAAATATTTATTCCTATATTGGAAATGTGTTGAAAGACACCTGAAGATATGAATATGAATCTGAGAATCCTTGTAGCTCCCAATGACACAGAATTGAAAATAGAAGAGTAGAAAAATAGGGTTAGAAAGGAAACTGGAGGTCTTCTTGTCCAATCTCCTGCTTGAACAGGAGACCCTGTAAAATTCCAGACAAATGATTGTCCAATCTCTTCTTGAAAAGCTCCAGTGATGGAGCAGTCATAACTTCCGAAGGTAAGTTATTCCACTGATTAATTGTTCTCACTTGCAGGAATGTTCTCCTTAGTTCTAGACTGAATCTCTCTTTAATGATCTTCTCTCCATGACTTCTTGTCCTGATCTTTAGCACTTTGGAAAATAAATCAATCCCCTCAAATACTGGAAACTGGTATCCTATCACCCCCCTGTTCCTTTTCTTTGTTGGACAAGACAACCGTAGTTCAATCATGATGTCAATACATATTGACATTATAAATGTCCATTCATTTATAATTGACATTATGAATGACCATGAATAAAAGGTCAAGAGTTTTCTCTCCTTAAGCAATTCTCTACTAGTGATCTTTTTGAACTCCAATGACAAAAATGGTGTCCCTTCTTGGAAAACCTAGTCACCTGATATCTTTCCTGGTTTGATGGCTGCTTCCAAAAAGAAATGAGGCTGTCCAGGTCTTCACAATAGGAAATGTTAGCCATTGCGTTCTCTACTGGAACACTAGGATCCTCTTCTTTTAGCAATCGAAATTTCAGCGTTGATGTTCCAGCTGATTTAAGAGAGGCACTGAAATTAAAAAATGGATTCCAGAGTATTCATTATTGATGAGTAATCAAGATTGCAAAGACAATCTCATCAAGACCTACATGGCCCTTATTTTGCACTTTTCTGTCTTTAATAGGTGGAATTTGTCCAGCAGCTACCAAAATCCGCAACAGGGAAGATCCAACGGAATGAATTAAGAGACCAAGAATGGGGCCGAGTTTAAATCTATAGAAAGCTTGCTTTATCTCCACAGTTTTCTGGCACAGATGTGATCCAAAACCTTGCTACTGTTGAAATGACCTGTTTTTTTGGCTCAGTGTTGAGTGTTCCCACTGAAACCTATAGATGCCATACATTAAAAGCGATCTTCCTCAAAACCATGTAGTAAGACGATGTTGATGTCAAAATGAAAGAGAAATCTAGAGGACAAGTGGAATGAGGTGGGATGGTTAAGATCCTGGACTTTCTATTCTGTGGCTAACCGTTCTGCCTTTTTACAAAAGAGGTCAACTGATTGGGAGTCATACTAGATCTACACATTAATACTTGAATCACAAATGATTAAACCATTGGGGCTGATGGTTGGACAGCACCTGCCCCACACGTGGACAAGACAGGCTTAATAATCATGCTACAGACGGGTTCATAGATGGAGAAGATGGGTTCAAATGAAATGCTGACTCACGTGTTTAAGTATTAACAAAGGTTATAATGCGAAGGATTGAAAAAGGTGAACTCCGCAAAATCAACCCTCCCTATGCTAGATCTGCTAACCATGTTCAGCCCTGGGTTATGCTGGACAGCTGAGTGTCTGCCACAGCTGAGAGAAAAATAGAATAAAATAAAATAAAATTCAGTGCCATCAGCGGTGCTCCTTAAAACCCCTTTCCAGACAGTTCACAGTCTGACAAAGTGATTAACTCTCCAAGCAAGTCTAGAGATTAATTTGCATCCAAAACAGTTGCTATCTAATACTGCATTCCAGTCTAGCAGCGATAGGTAATTGCATGCCTTTCTAGCTAAATCTCTCTTGAGGATGTTTCCAAAGTTTGCCACTACCGGTAGTTCTTGACTAACGACAATGGCGCCCCACATTTCTGTAGCTAAGCGAAACCGTTGTTAACGGTTCATTCATTCAACAACCTTTCTTGTCGCAGATGTTAAGTGAATCTGGCTTCCCCATTGACTTGACTTGACTTGCCAGAAGTTTGCAAAAGTTGATCACCTCACTCTGGGACACTGCAGCCGTCATAAGTATGAGTTGGTTGCGAAGCATCTGAATTTTGATCACATGACCCTGGGGATGCTACAACGGTTATAAGTGTGGGGAAAAAATTCAGTGCTGTTGTAACTTTGAAGAGTCGCTAAGCGGAATGTTGTAAGTTGAGGACCTCCTGTAATTATAATTTTTTCATGGAGTTTGGGAGGACTAAATGAATACAGTACAACAATACAAGTTGTATCATGGTCACTAAAGAGAACAGCCGCATTCGTATAGGCCAGGGGTAGGCAACCTTGGCTCTTTTATGACTCGTGGACTTCAACTCCCAGAATTCCTGAGCCAGCATGGCTCAGCTTGGAAACCTCTCTCTTTCCCCTCAGCATGGCTGACTCAGGAATTCTGGGGGTTGAAGTCCACAAGTCATAAAAGGCATTCAACCATAGAGAGGAGAAAACCAAGATTGTCCACCCCGATTTAAAGCATTCACTGCATTCCTACAATCAGACTCTGCCTACTTTTTCTTTTTGGCTCCTCCACATTTTTTTCTGGCCCCATTCCAGCTTTCCAAAGAAAGTGCCCATCCTATCTTGGTCCTAAATTAATTGAAGTTTAGGAGGTATTCTTTAACCAATACGGTTTGTACAACGGAATGAATGGTTCGATGCAAACCAAAGGGCAAGAATTGCGACACAGAATTGCAATATGGAGATCCCGTTTCCACTTCTTCTTTGCTCCTTGCACAGACTCTTCGGTTACATAAGTTTTATGGGCTCTGGAGTGAACGAGTTTAAAGGCACCCTCTTCTCTCAGAATTGGCCTAGAGCTCGCTCGTTTGAAAGGTAAGAAATCAAGTCCGGCGCCGTTTAAGACCGTCTGATTTCTCGATCTGCAGCGTGATCAGTCAGGGGCCAAGAGGCTGGTGACTCGTATAAGGTGTTCATCAAGCTAATACGACACTAAGCCTGGAATATTCATGAGATGCAAAGTTTTCCGCTTGAAAAACAGGTCAGGAAAAGAAAGGGGACGCTGATTTGACCCTAGTTTCTTTCTACTACATCCTGAGTCAATTTCAATTAAGGTTTATCACAACTGTACACCACCATCACGAACAGGAGATATCCCAAATGATGTGTCCTCTTTTTTTTTTTTTTTTTGAGGCATCTTCATTGCTTGATAACGGTCTACAACGGCAATAAAGCTCAACTCAAAAGGTAAACAAGCAATTTAAGCAACAGCAAAATATTCCGATGATGGCTAAGCCTCCACCTGAACAAGAGATGTAAGTAGTGATTGAGTACAGGTGGTCTTCAACTTAAAATAGATCATTTACTGACCGTTCAAAGTTACAACGGCACTGAAAAAGTAACCTACGACTATTTTTCACACTTACGACCCTTTCAGCATGTGACCAAAATTCGAATGCTTGGCAACTGACTCGTATTTATGACAGTTGCAGTGTCCCGGGGTCGCGTGATCCCCTTTTGCGACTATCTTACAAGAAGTCAATGGGGAAGCCAGATTTTCTTAATGTAATAACTGCAGTGATTCATTTAACAACTGCGGCAAGAAAATTCGTAAAACGGGGCAAAATTCATTTAACAAATGTTTCACGTAGTCCAACCCCCTGCTCAGGCAGGAAACCCTATACCATTTCGGACAGATGGCTGTCCAAGTCTCTTCTTAAAAACTTCCAGTGTTGGCGCATTCACAACTTCTGGAGGCAGGTTGTTCCACTGGTTAATTGTTCTGACTGTCAGGAAATTCCTCCTTAGTTCTAGGTTGCTTCTCTCCTTGATGAGTTTCCCTCCGCTGCTTCTTGTTTTGCCTTCAGGCGCTTTGGAGAATAGCTTGATTCCCTCTTCTTTGGGGCAGCCCTTGAGATATTGGAATACTGCTATCATGTCCCCCCTCTTCATTAAACTAGACATACCCAATTCCAGCAACCGTTCCTTATATGTTTTAGCCTCCAGTCCCCTAATCATCTTTGTTTTAAAATACTTATTTTTGTGGGATTGGATGGAAAAATGCTCTGTCCATCCCATCACTTCAAATATTAAAACACGTTTTTGGAGATATTGGTGGGAAGGTTGAGGAGGTGGAGAATAAAAATCTTGACATCTTTTGATTGACACAGCCTACAGAAAGAAAAAGAAACTTTTCACATGAGTGACATAGTCTAAGATTAACATTTAATTACAAAATAGTTCAGGAAAATGTAACCACCATTAACCTGCACAACATGAGGTTCTGATTCAAAGTGAAACATTAACTTCAATAATAATTTATCTCTTAAGTATTAAAACATCCAATTTTTTCAGATGCATTTCTTTTGGGGAACTCACTTTCTAATGAGGAGGCCTTTAAATCATCTGCACAGGTATATATTCTTTTTTTAAAATTCATACAGTCTGAAAATATTTGCAAACTCCAGATTGAGAAGGGTTTGTTTTTTTTTAAAGTGAGCATCTGAGAGAGATTAATGTGATTTGGCCTAGATGCATGTGTCTTAAGGGTGAAAATATGAAGTAATTCATCCAAATATACATAGAACATATATCTTGTTGAAGATGATCACAAGGTAGAAGACAGAAATTGTGGGTTTAATGGTTACGTTTCCCAAGTATTTTGAGATTTAATGCATAATTTTTGCTCCATCCCAGCAGATATAAGTTAAACTAGGCTTTAAAAAATTATTTTCTCTAGAGAAGGATCTCTCACATTAATTTTTGGATTGATTGACTATGTGCCACCAAGTAATTATTGATTCTTAGCAGCCTTCTAGATAGGTTGTTTCCCATCATGATCTCCTAATCTGTTCTTTCAGCGATAAACTCATCCCCATTATATCTGAATCCATCCACCCTACTGCTGATAATCCTGGTCTTCTTTTTCCTTCCACTTCTCTCAAGTGTAGATGTAGACACATCCCAACATTTTTCAGTATCTTCACGGCTATGAAGATCTACCAAGGTCTATCAAAGTCATCCCTAACAGTATAGCCTAGGACCCAAGGCTATAAGAATAAAATTTTGCTTGCCACTAGGCAGCATGGAACCTACAAGCTCGTTGGCTTCCTTCTTTAGCCTTCTTCACAACTAGCTTCAACTTACTCCCTTTTTATTTTACCTAGACGGAGACATTACCCATGGCTGGTGCTATGAAGTTTCGCTCCAGACTTCCTGGGTTCCAGTCTGCCCGTGTTCCTACGTTCCCGTGTAGATTCAACATTCAGACCCCTCATGGGTTTTCATCTCTGGCTATCCCAGATACTGAGCCCCAAGACAGAGACGTGCCAGAATATTTTAATTTTGCAAGTGATGTTCTTGATAAATGGAGTCAACGAGAAAAGGTGTGTGTCATGTATGTGTTTCATTTTGAGAGCGGGCAACTAAATTTCATTTCTGATGTGTGCCATTGTGCCCACAGTATCAAAATGACAATAAAGGTTATCTTATCTAAAGGTTATCTTATCTTAAGATAGCATGACATTTCTTGAGAATTTCCCAAGAATTTCCATTAATTCTCTGGTGGTATATAGAGAAAGAAATCAGCTTGACAGGTGACTCTGGCAATTCATCTTGGTTAATTCAGGCTGTTAATTTAATCATCATACAGGTCGACCTTGACTTACAACCATTTATTTAGCAACCGTTTGAAATTACAGTGGCCCTGAAAAAGGGATTTATGACTGTTTCTCACACTTGCAATGTTGTAGCATCCCAGGGTTGCATGATCAAGATTTGCATGTATTTACAACAGTGGTAGCATCCCGGGGTCACATGATCACCATTTGCAAGGGACTACAGCCCTGGCTGGCTGAGGACTTCTGGGAGTTGAAGTCCACCAATCTTAAAGTTGCCAAGTTTGAAGACCCCTGGGCTAGAATTTCCATTGCTACACAAGTCAGTTGTTAAGTTAGTTGTGCCAGATTTTACAACTTTCCTTGCCATAGTTGTTAAGTGAATCATGCAGTCGTTAAGCCAATCTGGCTTCCCCCATTGACTTTCCTTGTCAAGAGCACCAAGTATCCCAGAATCATTCTCCTCCTCCTCCTCCTCCTCCTCCTCCTCCTCCTCCTCCCCACAACCCCAACTCCCTTCTAGCACTGATGCTGTTACTTAGTTAGGCTTATGAAACGTCTGCAAGAAAACAAGCAAGCTCAGAGAGCACCAAGGACCCCTCATGTCAATCCCGAGCCACAAATATTCCCCTTTATTGATATCATTTCTTCTAAATTGTCTGCCAGGAGGGGAAGAGGCCTTCCAATCCAGCCCTCTGGTGGGTTAAAGAGAATGGTGAAGAGGTACAATGGACCTTTGAGGAGTTGAGCCACTTATCTAGGAAAGCTGCCAATGTGCTCTCGGAGGCCTGTAACCTATGCAAGGAAGATCGACTCCTCATTATACTTCCAAGGGTCCCCGAGTGGTGGCTGATCAGCTTGGCCTGCATCCGAACAGGTCAGTCCAAAGAGTGTTCATGCACCAAAGATCTTGTAATAGTATATGGAGAAGACCTTGGGAGATGGGGCAAAGAGAGGCTGCCTAGGGCAGGGGTAGGCAACCGTGGCTCTTTTATGACTCGTGGACTTCAGCTCCCAGAATTCCTGAGACAGCATGGCTCAGCTTGGAAACCTCTCCCTTTCCCCTCAGCGTGGCTGGCTCAGGAATTCTGGGAATTGAAGTCCACGAGTCATAAAAGAGCCAAGGCTGCCTACCCCTGGCCTAGGGCATGGTCAGCTAATAGCCTGAAGCTGCACAATGGAGGAGCAAAAGGCTCAGAAGAGGCCCACCCTAAGTTTCTCAGGCTGTGAAGGACGCAAGGGGAAATTTACAAGATTGTGTTAATGTAGCTTTACAACAAAGTAGAACAAAAGGAGAATATTTACAGCTCAGGGTTGAAGTGAGGGGTCCTTGGTGCTCGCTGAACTCGGTGGCCTTCTTGCAAACGTTTCATTACCAAACTAGGTGAAGAAAAGCACCAAGGACCTCTGAAAGTAGAATTAGCTCATCTGATTGTTATTTCCTATCGGGTCAACGTAGTAAACCTGAGAAATGCAGACCATTTTCCCCCTCTTCCTTTCTTCTCACAGTCCTTTATTCTGCTTTGGCAGGTGTTGTCTTCATTCCAGCTACTATTCTCTTGACTGCTCCAGACATATTATACAGACTCCAGCAATCCAAAGTCAGCTGCGTTGTTGCCAATGAGGCTATTGCACCCTTAGTAGATGCCGTGGGGTCTGAATGCAGCTGGCTGAAAACTCGGATCCTGGTTTCTAAGAGCAGCAAAAGGGAAGGTTGGCTGAACTTCCATGATCTACTACAGTGAGTATCTTTCCTGACGCTTCAAGGCCCAAGAGATATCATCCATAAATATCATATATAGCATGATGAAAACCCTGGCATTTCTGCCAAGTAATATCTAAACCCACAAGCTTTATATTGTACAAGTAGTCCTTGACTTACAACAATTCATTTAGCGATTATCCGAAGTTACAACTGAAAAAAGTGTCTTATGACCACTTTTGACACTTACAACCCTTGAAGGATCCTCATGGCCACATGATCAAAATTCAGAGGCTTGGCAACTGGCATGTACTTATGCTGTGTGCCAGCATCATGTGATCACTTTTTGCGGATTTGACAAGCAAAGTCAATGGGGAAGCCACTTATCCGTGTTACTAAATTAACAACTGCAGTGATTACTTAACAGCTACGGCAAGAAAGGTTGTAAAATGGGGCAAAATTCACTTAACGACTGTTAATTCACCAGACGTTTTGAGCTCAATTGTGGTCGTAAGTCGAGGACTACCTGAATTTTGCTTCAAAGCTGCCAAAGTGTGACTTTGGGGCAACATCTGGCATCTTGTTCAGAAGAACAAATGTGTGACACCCCACATGTGTCCCTTTTTACTATAATTTAGAGACTTCTCGGGCTCAGCTCCATATGTTGCTTGGCCCTTCTGACCTTCCCTGTGTCAGAGCGTGCAGTCTTATTGTGCCGAGATAACCCAGGAGTAAACACAGTAAACAGTGGTTTGTATTAAATGGTGGTTTATCTTACACTGTCTACAATATCATACACCAGGAACAATACACATACACGTGCTAATACAGCAGGATCCAACAAACCACAATTACAGCAGGAAACGGAAGAGAGAGAACACATCAGCAGAGTCTTCCCTTTATACAAAGGCTCTTAAAGAGACACAGACCCTGCTGAGTCACTCCCATCATTACATTTCATCTTACACCTTACATTACATAAGCTGGTTAGCTGTTAAATCAGTACTTGACACCCTGCTTCTATTTTGCAGAGCTGCCTTTGACCAGCATCAACCCGTTCAGACAAAGAGCCTTGACCCAATGACCATCTACTTTACCAGTGGGACCATGGGCTACCCCAAAATGGTGCAACATTCCCACGGCAGTTTGGGGTATGGGCTGGACAAGATTGCAAGGTAGTTCTACGTGCCTGCATTTGACCCCTCTCTACCTATTCCTTCATTGATTAACTGATTGATTACAGGGAGTCCTTGACTTATAACTATTCCTCGGTTCAAAGTTGCATGGGTTCAAAGTTACAACAGCCTCAAAAAAAGATGAGTAAACTCATCTTACGGCTTCTGTGATTTGACCCCTTTCAAGCATAATCACCCCTACACTGGCTGCTATAGTATGAGTCTTAATGTCACCCCCAAAATGTCTCTTGGCTTCTTTATTAACAGAGAATGGCTGAGTCTGACTTCTTCGGACATTATGTGGGGGTTTTCTGATCCTGGCTGGATAAAATTTGCCATAGGAAGTTTCTACTCTCCTTGGAGCCAAGGATCGTGTATATTTCAACATGGTATGCTTCAGTTTGATCCCAAAGTAGTTCTGGAGGTAAGAACCAGATGTTTTATTTGAAAGGTCCCGTACAGACAGACGGTAATAATCCCCAAAGATACATACAACAGCTGATTCTCCCTCCCAAATTTTCTGAAAAAGTTTACTGCTTTCTTCACTAAAATTCAAACTTGAGAATCAGTAGCCACTCAATGTCTCCATCGCCTCTTTCATGGAGATCCTCAGTCATCCAGGTCATAGCTGTCCCAGGGTTATTAACTCGTTTATGTTTGTAGTTTATGTAATTTTCTTTATCTTTTATGATTGTAAGACACCAGAATTACTTTGAGGTACGATGGGTGGGCTATACATTTTGTTTATAAAATTTACAGCCCACCCATCTTACCTCAAAGTAATTCTGGTGTTTTACAATCATAAGAGATAAAAAATTATCTGCACATTAGTAAATTGACTGCGCACTAGTATCTAAATTAGAGTTCTAGGGGGACCCTACAGATTTGCTTATTTGTTTATGTATTACTCAGTTACTCGTATTTCTCGATGCCAATTGCCAAATCTTACTCAGTGGTATTAAAAATTGCTTCCTCTTCTTTATTCTCTCCTTTATTCAGTCTCTTGTCAAGTATCCGGTGACAGGTTTTTGTGGCACACCAACCATATTTCGGATGCTGCTCCAACACAATGTTAGCAGGTACAAATAACTTGCATGAGAAGAACACCCTTCTATGGTGCTTTGTGTTATTTTGTACCACTTTTGGAAGATGTGAAGGACCAGGATGGTGACAAATTATCCCAGAGATGGGGAACAATGGCCTCTATATGACTGGTGGACTTCAATCCCCAGAATTTCCGAGCCAGCATGGCTAGTTCAGGAATTCTGCAAGCTGAAATCCACAAGTCATAATGTTTTATTAATTTTCAAACAGTCATTAAATGAACTGATGTAAGATAAGATAACTGATGATCGATCCCAGCAATCCGTTTTTCATATTTTGGAGTCCAAGTAGTCCAAGCTTTGAAGATCCTTTCCTGAAGAATGTTGCTTTCTTCTCCTCTTTGTTCAGGTACAGGTTCAAGAGTCTGGAGTCCTGCACGAGTGGCGGAGAACCAATCAGTCTGGAAGTGCAGCAACAGTGGAAAGCACAGACTGGGTGCGAGATCCGTGAAGCCTACGGGCAGACAGAAAGTGTAAGTCTGCAACTCGTTGAGTCTTTAATGAACACTCAGAGGGAAAGGGTTCAAAAGGCGAAAGGCATGGAACTGTTCCAGACTTACTCAGCCGAGACCCTGACTTCAGCCCACGAAGCCAGGATGTGATGTGATCAGCGCATGCATGCACTTGTGTCAGAGGCACCGAGGCCTTCTGGGTTGAAAGGATTAGCCAGTGATGTCACCCTTGTCCTGGGGACGCCCAGTTGGGGGCTCCTTTCACTTCCCTGGCAGGAGCTGGGTTGAAGGACGGGAGCTCAACCCTGTCTCAGGGCAACTCTCGGGTCTCAAACATGGACTTGGTAACGTCCTGCCCAGCGGTCCATACTGCATCCAGTTTTGGTCACCACGATGTAAAAAAGATGTTGAGATTCTAGAAAGAGTGCAGAGAAGAATAACAAGGATGATCAGGGGACTGGAGGTTAAAACATATAAGGAACAATTGCTGGAACTTGATATGTCTAGTTTAATGAAGAGAAGGACGAGGGGGGACATGATAGCAGTCTTCCAATATGGAATGGAATGGAATGGAATGGAATGGAATAGAATAGAATAGAATAGAATAGAATAGAATAGAATAGAATAGAATAGAATAGAATAGAATATTAGGGGACTGGAGGCTAAAACATATAAGGAACAGTTGCTGGAATTGGATATGTCTAGTTTAATGAAGAGAAGGATGAGAGGGGACATGATAGCAGGGTCCCAATATCTCAGGGGCTGCCCCAAAGAAGAGGGAGTCAAGCTATTCCCCAGAGCACCTGAAGGCAGGACAAGAAGCAATGGATGGAAACTCATCAAGGAGAGACGAAACCTAGAACTAAGGAGAAACTTCCTGACAGTTAGAACAATTAACCAGTGGAACAACCTGCCTCCAGAAGCAGTGAATGCTCCAACACTGGAAGTTTTTAAGAAGAGACTGGACAGCCATCTGTCTGAAATGGTATAGGGTTTCCTGCCCAAGCAGGGGGTTGAACTAGATGACCTCCAAGGTCCCTTCCAACATCATCATCATCATCATTGTTGTCGTTGTTATTATTATTATTATTATAAAAAAATCTAACTTAATTTCACTCCTATAATTTGTCCTCACAGTCCCTGCTCTGCAGCACCAGAAAAGGAATGAAAATTAAACCTGGATTCATTGGAAAGCCTTTTTCTGGCATTGATCTCCAGGTAAGCCCACCATTTTGTAATGGATAGCGTCAATACGGGTGGTCCTCAACTTACAACAGTTTGTTTAGTGACCGTTCGCAGCGACAAGGGCACTGAGAAAAAGGAGCTCGTGGCCATTTTTCACACCACCCCTGCAGCATTCCCCGATCGAAATTCAGATGCTTGACCCCTGATTCATATTTATGACCGTTGCGGTGTTCTGGGGGGAGGGGTCATGTGATCCCCTTTTGCCACCTTCTGACAAGCAAAGTCAAGGGGAAAGCCAAATTTCCCTTAACAACCAGGTTACTAATTCAACCGCTGCAGTGATCCACTTAACAACTGTGGCAAGAAATGTGGTAAAATGGGGCAAAACTCACCAAATTTCTCACTTAACAACAGGCTCGATTGTGGTCGACAGTCGAGAACTACCTTATCGTAAGGTGGGAAAATTCCTTTGTATAGCATAACCCAGGGGTAGGCCACCTTGGCTCTTTTATGACTCGTGGACTTCAGCTCCCAGAATTCCTGAGCCAGCCACGCTGAGGGGAAAGGGAGAGGTTTCCAAGCTGAGCCATGCTGGCTCAGGGATTCTGGGAGTTGAAGTCCACGAGTCATGAAGGGGCCACAGTTCCCCCATGCTGGCTCAGGAATTCTGGGAGTTGAAGTCCATCAGTCATGAAAGAGCCAAGTTTGAAGACCCCTGGCATAACCCAATACCCTGAGAATTGTACATTACAATTAATCTGCTAGCCAAAGAGGTCCTATCGAAAGAAGTCCAAAGGGAAGCGCGAATGACCATTGATAGGTTCCCTTCCTTTGTAGATCATCGATGAAAAAGCCAATCGCCTTCCCCCTGGAGAAGAAGGAGACATCGCCGTAAAGATCAAGCCGCAAAGGCCTGTGGGACTTTTCAGTGCTTATGTGGTAAGGAAGGAAGCCCTCAAACAACTGAGCAAATTTCAAGAAGTAGAAGAGGTTATCTCTGGGGAGACAGCATAAGCCATTGTCCCTCAGCCCTCGTGAGAAGCGATAGAAATGATCGGGGGTGAAGCTTCAAAGGAAGCTTCTGTCCTTCTCTGTTCCCCAACATGCCCAGTTCATATTGGGCAAGGCAGTGACCTTGTGTTGAGTAAGGGGAGATTTCATTGGATAATTGCTGGCCAGTGAAGGACAAGGGGGGTGGGAAAGAGTTTTGAACTGAGATGATTTGAGAACATTCTGGGTTGAGATGCTGTGGGTCTTGGCAAGCTGAAATATGAGGCTAGGGCCCAGGCAGAGCATGTGGGGTTTCCACATATATGATGAGATGAGATGGGATGGGAAGGGAAGGGGAGATGGGATGGGATATAGGATACAATGGGATGGGATGGGATGGGATGGGAAGGGAAGGGAAGGGAAGGGAAGAGAAGAGAAGAGAAGAGAAGAGAAGAGAAGAGAAGAGAAGAGAAGAGAAGAGAAGAGAAGATGGGATATGGGATGAGATGAGATGAGTTGAGATAACCTTTATTGTCATTTTTTACTGTGGGCACAACGGCACACCTCAAAAATGAAATTTAGTTGCCCACTCTCAAAGTAAACAGATACATGACACACACCTAAACATACTATACACAACATATGTATGGACCCACACCCCTAGATATACATAACAAATAAATATTATATACACTGTTCATCTTGAATATATCATGGAAGGAGGAAGCTTGAGAGTTCAATATGGACGGATGGATCACATTCACGAGTGTGGACTTCGTCAATGTTGCAGCCATCCAGCAAAGAATATGTAGATTGCCTGTTTCTTTTCCCTTAGGATGATCCTGAAAAAACCAGCGCTACTGAACGTGGGGACTACTATCTCACTGGAGACCGAGGACTCATGGATGAAGAGGGATACGTCCAGTTCATTTCAAGAGCAGATGACATTATCTTGACTTCTGGGTAGACCTTCAATGTTTGCTAAGGCTTTGCAAACTATCTGAGATGCTTAACAATAACAATGGCAATGCAAAATCATAGGCTAGATACTCAATCCTGTACCACAAGGTACAGACCACCATCCCCATTCCCCCACTTATACACACACAAACAAACACATACCACACACAGAGAGAGCAAGATTCCATCAACATGATGGATTAGGGGACTGGAGGCTAAAACATATAAGGAACAGTTGCTGGAATTGGGTATGTCTGGTTTAATGAAGAGAAGGACAAGGGGGGACATGATAGCAGTGTTTAGAGGTTGCCACAAAGAAGAGGGAGTCAAGCTATTCTCCAAAGCACCTGAAGGCAGGACAAGAAGCAACAGATGGAAACTAACCGAAGAGAGATGCAACCTAGAACTAAGGAGGAATTTTCTGACAGTTAGAACAATTAATCAGTGGAACAACTTGCCTCCATAAGCTGTGAATGCTCCAACACTGAAAGTTTTTAAGAAGGGACTGGACAGCCATTTGTCTGAAATGGGATAGGCTTTCCTGCCTAAGCAGGGTTTGTACTAGATGACTCCAAAGTCCCTTCCAACTTTTATTATTGTTGTTGTTATTGTTGTTATTGTTGTTAATAATAATAATAATAATAATAATAATAATAATAATAACAAAACTCATGGACATGAGGTCAACAGTTCCACCCACACTATTAAAACATTTCCATCAATGAACAGAATTTTTGAGGTCTCCAAGGTGTAGAGATTAGCTTTTTTCATTCAGTGATCTTCCGGTTTCCATTCTCTACTTTTTATGCATGCTCAACTTGCCAAAAGTAAATGCTTCGTGTTAATTTTGGAAAGCAATTAAGTATTTTAATTTTCTGTGTGGCTCCCAGTATCTCTTAAGCTTTGGCTTATCAACATCTGGGTGGCTACTGATGGTCAGTGACTCTTCAGAGATCAAACTGGAGTTTTTGGCCTGCAGCCTAAAGAGTCTCGCTTGAATTATGGTATTTTCCTATTTAGATATCGCATTGGTCCTTTTGAAGTGGAGCAAGCTTTGATGAAGCATCCTGCAGTAGCTGAAGCAGCTGTTGTTAGCAGCCCAGATTCCATCAGAGGAGAGGTGAGGTGGCCATAATGCTGTGTATTAGGTTCTCACAGTCAGGAACCCAACAAGGGTTTAGAACATGACCACCCTAGGTCACCCAGTTTCTGAGAATCCCTCATTACCCTTATGTGCCTTCTCATCTGAGACCATAGTCTCCCATAATCTGAGATCTCAGATCTTGTGATCATTCTTCCTTAGCTTCTGCTGTTCCTCAGTCAAGAAAAGGCTTCAGTAATTTTATTCCATAGTCCACATTAGGAAGGAGTAGAGATGTTCTCTCCAAAGGCTTGAGTGAGCGCAGGAAGTTATGAAGCAACATAACTTTAATGAAAGTTTAATGAAAAGAAGGACTAGCAGTGACATGATAGCAGTGTTCCACTATCTCAGGAGTTGCCCCAAAGAAGAGGGAGTCAAGCTATTCTCCAAAGCGCCTGAAGGCAAGAAAAGAAGCAATGGATGGAAACTAATCAAGGAGAGAAGCAACTTAGAACTAAGGAGACATTTCCTGACAGGGAGAACAATTAATCAGTGGAACAAAATTGCCTCCAGAAGTTGTGAATGTTCCAACACTGGAAGTTCTTAAGACAACCATTTGTCTGAAATGGTGTAGGGTTTCCTGCCTGAACAGAGAGTTGGACTAGATGACCTCCAAGGTCTCTTCCAACTTTGTTATTCTATTCTATCTATTCTAACAGCTCTGTTCTTCAGTACTATTTTAGTCCATGGGGAGCTGTCCAGGGTCCTGACAATAACCATACCCTGCTCTATTGGTATCTCTTCTGCCCTAATTAACCAGTCTTTCACTGATTTCATCGAATTCGGTTTCGCATTTTAAAAATCACAATACTATGAAATCTTGTCCCATTTGTGTAAGGAGAAGAGCACACCATAGTTTCAGTATGGAAGAAAGGAAAGTTTATTCTATTATTTTGTTATCCACCGTATTAGCCATGGTTCAATGCATTAAGCACATTGTGCCAACTTGAACAACATGCTAAATCTTAATGTGATAATCTTTTAGTCTGATGTCCCTTCCTTGATGGGTGAAGGCAGCGGTCAGAGACATCTTGAGGACACCAGAAGAAAACTAATGTAGGTCATGCTAAGCAAGATAGACTCGTAGTCCCAATCAGTAGACAATCAGTAGACAACAACAATATTCTAGGGAACAAATGGAAGTTTAATTATCATTATGATTAGTCACACAGCCAGATGTTTAGACTGGATTTGGCATTTTTATCCATACAACATCATCCTAATTAATGATGTTAAAGATATTGGATGTAGACTGTTCCTTATAAAGCTGCCTTCTGCAATTGACCGATGGCAATATTGTCAATGCTGTGATGGTGTTCAAGCAGTGGTCTCATTTGGGGGGGGGGTGGTTGCACCCAAGGCAACTATCACTATTGGTATTATCATTATTATTATCACTAACATTATTATTAAGATTATTCCAGAAAGCTAACTTTGCACAAAGTCATGCTAATTCATCTTATTTTACCCTGACTTCGCTGTAGGTGGTAAAAGCTTTTATCATCCTAACTCCTGCCTACCAATCACAAGACAGAGAGAAATTAAGCATGGAGCTGCAAGGACACGTGAAGAAAATTACAGCTCCATATAAATATCCCAGAAAGGTGAGTCCTTGCCACAACAGGAGATTCAGGTCTTGTTTGGCTTGAATTGGTAGGACCTTGAAGGTGGCTGAAGTGCCACAGTCTTTAAGGGCCACCCAGAGGCCATCCACAGTCTCTAAGGGCCACCCAGAGGCTACAGCCTGAGTGGCTGTGCTAACTCCTTCTGTTCGCGAAAAAAATAGGCGAATGCTTTAGATCAGAGGTCCCCAACCCTCAGTCCATGGACCGGCACCAGAACGTGGTAAGCCAGCAACCAATTCGCGCAAACAAGCAAAGCCCCATCCGCAGGATGCAGGCAGCCCATGAAGCCACGCCCCCTCCGGTCTGCAGAAAAACATCTCTCCATGTAACTAGTCCCTGGTGCCCAAAAGGTTGGGGACCTCTGCTTTAGATGCAATAAAAATCAGAGTGAACACTGTGGACAGGCAGCCCTCTACTTATGCCACAACTGAGTCCAGAAATTCTATTGCTAAGCAAAAGGAGACATTTCATAATGTCTCCCTTCAGAAGGGAGTGGAGGAGGCGGAGAAGGAAGAAGAGGAGGAAGAGGCACCAATGATCAGATAACAGACAGCTGTGTCCATAGAAAGAATGGGGTGTGGCAAACATCTCAAAAGTTTCGTAGACTATAAAGGCGAGAGACGAGAGATGTAGTGTGAGACGTGCAAGATTTTGTTAATGCAACCTTAAACATACAATAGGTAATGCTAGTCCTCCTAGTTTTCTTGTCTAGACTGCCTCAAAGGGTTGACAGTCTTTTCTCTCTCTCTCTTTCTCTCTCTCTTTCTTTTAAATGCAATGCATTCTGTTTTCATTAGATCGAGTTTGTTCAAGACCTGCCCAAGACCATTTCTGGAAAAATTCAAAAGAAGCTGCTGAGAAATAAAGAATGGGAGAAAGCCTAACGGACTCTGGAGCTAACAGTGGACTCCGGGAGGGTTTTCTTCTTGTAGTTTTAGGATGTTGCCAAAGTCAGCGGTGAGATGGGCGGTCAGCTGGGTGACCTTGGGCCAGTCCCCCCCCCTCTCTCAACCCAACCTACCTCACAGAGTTGTTGTTATGGGGACAATAGGAGGAGGAAGTTGTGTTGGATAATGTTCTCTGCCTTGACTTATTTGTAAAGATAATAAAGGCAGGACGCAAATCAATAAATATTTGATAAATAAATACACACATGGGCCAGGCAACCCACAGCCAACCCATAATAACCCCAAATCTCTTTCTTTTGCAATTCTCAACACACACATATACACACACACCACCATCCTCACCTCACCCTGTGAAACTTGGGAGAGCCATTTCCCTTCTCTTGATCCACCAAAGGGTGTGAACTGACTTGATACGGATAACAGCAACATAAAAATCTCTTCCTAGAAAATTTCCCTAAACTGATCAGAAAAAAAACAGTTCCAACTTCTGCTGTGACCCATTGATAATATTATGTCCACCTATGTTCTGATAAAGAATATTTGCAGCTCAGGGTGGAATTGAGGGGTCCTTGGTGTTCTCTGAACTTGATTGTTTTAATAATGATGATGATGATGATAACGACGATGATATTGGAAGGGACCTTGGAGATCATCTAGTCCAACCCCCTGCTCAAGCAGGAAACCCTATACCATTTCAGACAAATGTCTGTCCAGTCTCTTCTTAAAAACTTTCAGTGTTGGAGCATTCACCATTTCTGGAGGCAGGTTGTTCCCCTAGTTAATTGTTCTGTCAGGAAGTTTCTCCTTAGTTCCAGGTTGCTTTTCTCCTTGATGAGTTTCCATCCATTGCTTTTTGTCCTGCCTTCAGGCGCTTTGGAGAAGAGCTTGACTCCCTCTTCTTTGGGGCAGCCCCTGAGATATTGGGGCTATCATGTCCCCCCTCGTCCTTCTCTTCATTAACTAGACATACCCAATTCCAGCAACTGTTCCTTATATGTTTTAGCCTCCAGTCCCCTGATCATCTTTTTATGCAGATGTTTCATAAAACATCTAAACCTTTGGCGAGCACTGATGATCTGACCTAGTTTGGGTAATGAAATATCTGCAGGCTCAAAGAGCACTAAGTAAAATCCTCATATACGCTCTGACTGCTATTAATTGTAAGTGAAGGTCTCAGTCACCCAAAAGTTGATATCTGGAGTATAATTTTGTCTTCATAGCCAGTAAAAGAGAAGAAGGCTTCTGTGTTGTAACATCAGAATATCACATTAGGAAATGCCAGAATTTTCCAAACAGAAAGCACCGAGTCTCATCCTAAGATATATTCTCATCTATGAAAATGTTTTAGGAGAAATCCACCCAAAGATGGACATTTTCTTCTGCCAGAAATTACAACATCAAACGAAGAAGAAAGACGAGCTTAATTATCGGACGTACACAAGGCAGAAGCTCTGTCCCAAAGAAATAAACCCTGTTAGGGCTTAGCAAAGAGACCACGATTCACATACATACTAGCTCCTTCAATATGCCAATTCTTACTTTGTCAGTCACGTTTTAGCTTAATCTAACAGTTTGCCATAAAGTGTGAATCCAGTAACCTCAACTTTACCCACCAAGGCAAAATGGTAGTCTAGGCTAATTGAAAGTAACAATTAACAGAATAACAGAGTTGGGAGGGATCTTGGAGATCTTCTAATCCAACCCCCCCCCCTGCTCAGGCAGGAAACCCCCTACCATTTCAACAAATGGTTTTCCCGTTAGAAAAATAAATACATCGGTCTGGAACGTGGGATATTAAAATTTCTAAGGCAGCAGCTCAAAGGCCTAGTTGACTTTTCAGTCTCCTCGCAAGCAGACGCAGATTGATTTTTTCCGCGTAGATTTTTTCACTCTATCGTTCTCTAAAACGAAGAGCAATTTTCCCACAGAAGGGAATTTTGGCCGCATTGGAGATCTGGCTTAGGTTTCTCCACAGGTAACACGCTTGGGGGAGCATATCCCTGCATTTGGGAAAGCGATTCCGTTACAAAGCAGTCTGTTACGTTTTAGAAAACAATAATAATAATTGCAGTGCAAACAAGCATATCCATTCCCCAAGGGAACCACACCAAGCATTTTTCCCATAGGTGGATTTTAAATACCTCAATAATCTCGGCTTTGGAAGGGAAGAATAGCTTGCTTCTCCAATGGCTAAGCAGTTAATTGCTTCTGAGAAAGAACAGAAAACGGCCACTTCTTTGCACCTGGGGAAAAGATTCTAACGTTCCGTGCAGAGACAGACCCCTGGCTTCTGTACTTTCTCTGAAATACACAAGGGAGAGCAGAAATTAGGTTGCTAAGCAAGGCTGTCATTGAAATTTTACAACCATTTTTACTGTGGTTGTAAAGCATAAGTCGAGGGCTTAGGACAGTGACGGCGAACCTTTTAGAGACCGAGTGCCCCAAAACCACCCTGCCCTGCCTGCCATCCCGGGCCCCGCCTACCCGCAGGGCCACCCGCCTCCACGGCTCGCCGCAACAGATCGCCCAGGCGGCCCAGCAGCGCCATGGTGACCACACCTCCACCCATGCCCTGCAGCATCATCTGCGTGTGACGGAGTGCAAGGGCGGAGTCTTGTCCCTGCTACCCAGTTGCCATGTCCTTGGCTGCGCTGCTCTGTGTGGGCCGTGCCCGGGGGCGACTCTCCTCTGGAGGGACTGCTGGTGAGGAGGGGGCCGTGGGGGGAGGCAGGGCTGGGGTGAAGGCACGTGTGCCCGCAGAGAGGGCTCTGAGTGCCGCCTCTGGCACGCATGCCACAGGTTCGCCACCACTGGCTTAGGACCACAGCTGAGGTTACAGAATTTAAGTGATGCTAAATGATACAGTCATAAAAGGATCCATCGCATGACCAGACCTGATTTGGCAAACATGTTTACTATTGGTTCTTAAGCAGATCAGGCAATGGTTAAGTGAACTCTGCAGCTCTTAAGCGAATCCAGCTTCACCCGTTGATTTTGCTTGTCGGAAGGTGGCTGGGAAGTTGCAAATCAGGATCACAAGACCCCGGGACACGGTCACCATCATAAATGCGAGCCAGTGGCCAAGTGCCCAAATCACAACCACATGATGCAGGGGTGTTTGCATCATTGTAACTTTGAGAATAGATCCTAAGTCCCTTTTTCGTCTCCACTGTGACTCCGAACTGCCCCTAAACAAGTGGTTGTAAGTCAAGGACCACCTGTAGACATGCCGTTGTTAAGCTAGTAACCCGGTTGTTAAGTGAATATGGCTTCCCCCATTGACTTTGCTTGTCAGGTCAGAAAAGGTGGATCACATGACCCCAGGGCACTGCAACTGTCATAAATACAAGTCAGTTGCCAAGCATCTGAATTTCAATCATGTGACACCGGGGATGCTGCAACGGTCATAAGTGTGAAGATCAGTCATAACATAAGTCCCCTTTTTCAGTGCCATTGTAACTTTGAACTTTCACTAAATGAATTCTTGTGAGTCAAAGACCAGCTGTACAAATGAATTGATGCTCTCCCTGTCTCCATGGTGAAGCATCTGAAAACATCTCCTAAACACTGCAAGCTCTTTTGTTAAAGCACATGGCCTTTTGCACATGTTTGACTTGCACAGATTTGCTTCCTGGATCTTGGCTGCAGGGATGCGCTTAGTTTTTCGGCCATGGCAGAATTTGGAGAGAAAAAAAAACAGTGAGAGGCTCGTAAAAGGAAAGCTTATTCTGAGGACCTAATACTGTAATAACAAGACTAAATTGCTTGAAGAAGAGGGAGACACGATTCAGCCAACGTGTGTGTTCTACACTGCACACAATAGGAGCAAAAAAAAAGGGATGAGAGAGGAACAAGACATCGTTTCTGAAGACCAATTTCGTTGCAATGAGTCCACTCTAATGAGATCCCCAGTGTGCCTGCCTGTTTGCATCACACTTAATTGTGCTCTTTTCTACTGAGGCTGCTTTAGAAGCACACAAACACAAAGCAGATATCAGCTGTCGCTTTGCAGCCTGTTGAGATCCAATTATTTCTCCATCGGACACTTTTGATGGCAGGGAGTAGCTAAATTCAAATGATGGGTCATCTGGTATTCTCATCTTTAGCGTCAGTTTTTCCCCCTGGTCCATCAAGACAAAGCACGTGCACCATAAAATCCAGTGAACTTCAGCGAGAGTCTGAATTTTATTGGAGAATGTCATGAGCATGTCCTTGTCCCTCCTTAGCTTATCCACAAAAAAGGGATCTCTAATCTTTAAGAATATTAGGATCCAGTAGGGCTTGCGGCTTCATGGACACCAAGAGAAACTCTGTGAAGTATCCTTAGATCCGTCAGGTGCTGGGTGTCAAGGAAATTTTTATTTTTTAAAAAATCCTTTAATCCCAGTTTAAAACTGGTTTCAGCTTAAGATATGAGAGATCTGGCTACCTTTCCCAGATATTTTGCATAATCTCAACAAAATATTGTCTTGGAGAGATTACATGACCTGTCACCTGCTCAGAATTAATCCTGCAGAAACGATACCCTTCTATTCTCCTTTTCACTGTTTTGCCTTTTTTTAAAAAAAAAAAAAGGTGGGTGTAATTGGAGAAATAAAAACAATTATATTCCCATAAAGGCATAATTCTTTCCTACTTCACAAAGATAAATCTTCTGGGCTTATGCAAGCCTATTGCAAAAGAGAAACAGAGGAGGTGCTTCTGAAAGGCAAATTAAACACACACCCGATCATTTTCAAGTAAGAATAACCATGTTATTTTACCCTTCTTTGCTATTCCTACCTAACTTTCCCCCCCCCCCCGCTTTGCTACGGTTTCCACAATTTCTTATCTGTCCTTCGCAAGAGTGTGGCGAGGGGGCGAGGAGAACCTTGGGTTCTATGGTCTCCTTGTGGCCAAGTTAGATATGAATTTGCGAGGGGTTGATTTCTTTGGACTAATTCTATGGAATGGGTTTGAGGAGAGGAGAAGGAACAAGCAATGCCCAGTGTTACTAACGTGATGGTAGAACATGCCTTATCCCAGCTAGTTCATCTCTGTCATGCCTCCAGTAGGAGCCTGAGGGTGTCTGTGGCTTCAGAGGAATGTGGGGAAGAGCAGACCATGGCAGGCCAGGGCCCTTCAGAATTGGGACAGGATGAATATGAGAGAAAGAGCTCAGGCAAGGCCACCCCCTCCTGATCCTAGAGCAGGGAGAGTGGAGAGACGGACGGAACAACAACGCAAGCAGGTTCAACTACTCGGGAGGAGAGCGCCCCACCCATCTCCACAGGGCACACCTGGACACTGAGACTGAAGGAGCCACTGTGGGGAGGGGCATTTGTTGTGAACAAACACTGATTTCTTGGAGTTTTGTGTGCTGTTGCTGATCTTGGAAACAGCTCTCTGATCTCTTGTTCGGGGGGGGGGGGGGAAACCCTGAAACTCTGACCATTGGACAGGCTGACAAATTTGATTTGGTATTCAAAGACCTCAGACTGCATTTTGGCTTCTCTTCTGAAACAGCTCAGGCAAGCTTGTGTTTCCACAGACTTGTTAGATTTTGGGTATATGTTTCATTCCTTGTGTAAATTATTCTTCTACTCTAATTGTATGTGAAACTACTTGCAGCCAGAGGCTGCTGAAGGTATGTGTGTCTTACTTTGTTCTGGGGCTTGCCAGAGACATGGGAGCATTTGGGGAAAATTTGGAGCAATTAAAGGGCAGTTTGAGTTGTCAGCTGACTACATTGCCCCTGTGCTGTGCCACGGGTCATCACAATCTCAATGGGTTTGGGCCACTGATTTATGAATTGCATTGCCTTTTCCTCAATAAAATTATTTCCTGGACCGTGCCTGCTGCTTGCAGACTTTTTAGAAGGAGAAGAATCAACACGCATCTCGCCATCCAGCTTAAGTGTTGTTTGACATGCTAAACATGATAACAAATCCATTTCTAATCTCTTCCTTCCCTGAAGAACCAACTCTAAAGATACTGTGTGGTCTTCACCGTAGCCTCCGTTCAGCCATGAAGATGTTATTCATCAAAGGCCAGTGGCTGAAGTCCATCTGGAGCAGGAGAAAACTTGGTGGATTGGTCCCCCAAGCCATGAAGATCTTTACTTCCCTCGATTTTTCCGAGTTTGAAGCTATTAACCGTGGGGACAAAGAGGTGCCGAAGTACTTTAATTTTGCAAATGACGTGCTGGATAAATGGTCCAAAATTGAAAAGGTAAGACCCCTTCCAAGGAGGGGGGGCGAAAGGGGTGTTCCTGATTGATGTGCATGTCCCCATATCTCATTTTTTCCCCCTTCAACTAATTAAAGAGAAATGAGGCATCGTACCAGATTGAGACCCAATCTTTTGTGGGCCCCAAATTTTAAGCAAATCATGTATTTTTTTTTTTTTTTAAAAAAAGAAGTATTAAGAGAGGGGACCATAGAAGAAAATATTGTTTTGAACTCCGTTCCCTTGTTCAGTTCAAGGACAGTGCATGAATTTAGGCAGTTGTAAATTTGGAAATTATAAGTATAATCAGGGTCTCGCCACTTACCCTGTTAACCTGCATATTTGCTTTTTATTTATTTTATTTTTATTTATTAAATTTGTTTACTGCCCGTCTTGACACAAGGCGACTCTGGGAGACTTACAATATTAAAATGAAACCATTTTACTCAATCGATATAATGAGAACTGTATTAGTTCAAATATGAGACAGTATATATTAAGGGGAAAAGAGAGAAAATATTTGATGTTGTGCCTTGAGATTTGTACTAACAATTTTTGTATGCTATTGAATTATCGATTAACCCAGCCACCACGTTGTTTTTTAAATACTTAAATGTAAAATTAGAAAATTAATACAATAATACAAAAAAAAAATAATGAAACCATAAATATATGTCTGGAATGCTATAGGGTTTCCTGCCTGAGCAGGGGGTTCAAGTAACAGGCAATGTAGAAATAAATATTATATATACACATAATACACGTACACAGTTATACACACAATAGATACGCCTTAATATACACATAAGGAGAAGAAATAAGAAAATAAGAGACAAACAGGAGAATATGAAAAAATTTTCCTTTAAGAAGAATCGAGAAGGAGAAGAAATAAGAAAATAAAAACAGCTGGATCCTAAAAATCTATGCCCTGCTCACTAGAATTTTCTTCGGTTTCTAAAATATTTCTCTTGTGGTTTTTACTTTATTTTATTGAAAACCTTTATATGCAGAAGCTGCTCATCTTCTAATCAACTCTGGGCGACTTCCAAACAAGAGTTTTTTTTAAAAAAACATATAAAATAATATTAAAACTATAAAACCAAACAGATGAAAACGTTAACATATCCTTCTTCAATCTTCTTCAACCTACCAGATATCCATAACTCTGAAGCCAACAATGATCCGTTCTGGAAGAAGACAGTTCTGAAATTTTATTAGAACCAGCCTGTTTTTCTCTATTTTCCTTTCTCATTCTAAGAACTGAAGACGTAGCTTTTGGTTGACCACTCCAATCGAGAGACACAACACACGTCTGGTTGGACCTCCCCAGATCATCTCCCTTAACATGGTGGAGGAATCAACAAGTATTGTCCCTTTCAATATTGTTTTTCAGAATGGAGAGAGGGCCTTCTATCCAGCTCTCTGGTGGATCGATGGAAAAGGAGGAGAAGTGAAATGGGACTTTGAAAAACTGGGCTTGGTCTCTAGGAAAGCGGCCAACGTACTCACGGGACCCTGTGGCCTGCAGAGAGGAGATCGGGTGATCCTCATTCTGCCTCGGATCCCAGAATGGTGGATGTTAACCGTGGCATGTATGAGAGCAGGTAAAAAAAAAACCCATGTAGGCATAGGAAGACCTGTTCAGGTATGTCATAGCAATTGCTTCCATCCTTGAATAACAGAATAATAGAATTGGAAGGGACCTTGAAGGACTTCTAGTCCTGCTCAAGCAGAAGACCCTGTACCATTTTAGACAAATGGCTGTCCAATCTCTTCTTAAAAATCTCCAGTGATGGAGCGACCACAACTTCTGGAAGAAAGCTATTCTACTGGTCAGGAAATTTCTCCTTAGTTCTAGATTGCTTCTCTCCTTGATTAGCTTCCATCAATTGCTTCTTGTCCTACTTTCAGGTGCTTTGAAGAATAGCTTGACCCCCTCTTCAATTAGCAACCCCTTAGATATTGGAACTCTGCTCACCTCTAGTCCTTCTTTTCATTAAACCAGAGATACCCAATTTAAGGCATGGACTTTCCATGTCCAGAAGAAGACCTAATGGTGAGAACAATCAACCAGTAGAACAGTTTGTCTTCAGAAGTTGTGGATGCTCCAACATTGGATCTCCTGCTTGAGCAGGGGGTTGGATTAGAAGACCTCCAAGGTTCCTTCCAACTCTATTATTCTGTTACTTGTCACTGTCTTCAGTGTCCTGCCTCCAAGCTTCCCAAAAGTCAAAATAATGGATGTAGGAATGATGACCCAGAATCTCATCATCCATTCTTGCTTTTGGGACAGAACAAGGTGAATCCTTGTGAATGAGCAAAGTTGTAAGAACATCCTCAAAGTGATGTATTTATTGACCTTGCCAGGGATCGTCTCCCTCCCAGGGACCCCACAGCTGACAGCTAAAGATATCCAGTATAGACTCCAGGTTTCCAAAGCGAAAGGCATCATCACAAATGATTCGTTGGCCCCTCTGGTGGAGACCATCTCTTCGGCATGTCCTTCTCTGCAAATCAAGTTGCTGATCTCCGAAAGAAGGCGAGAAGGATGGCAACATTTCAAGGAGCTGTTTGCGTAAGGCACAATGAATAGCACCCAACATTGGGAAGTGTGTTAGGCACTCGGTAACCTTTTAGAAGGGAGCGAGGCCTTTTGGCTAAATGACTGCCCAGGAGGATGAATGCAACAAACCTGTGCGCCCAGAAGGACAGGCACTTTGAGACTAGTAGCCATTTTAATTTCTGAGCCATTTTAATATAGATAGTTTTCTTCCGTTCAACTGTGTCTGATTCTTGAGGGAGGCTGCCTGAAATTTTTTTGGCAAGGAAAGTGAGTGGCCCAAGGTCACCCAGCTGGCTTTGTGCCTCAGGCAAGGAACCCAGGCTGCCCTGACTTCTAATTTCTAATCTCTCCCGATTTCTAATCTAACCACTATACCAAATTGGGTCTCTAAAATGAAGGTAGATCTCCTTCACTTCTTTAAGAAATAGTGGGATAGAATCTAACAAAACAAAGGCCAAAACATTACTCTAGAACAGTGGTCTCAACCTATGGGTCGCGACCCCATTTGGGGTCGATCGACCATTTCACGGGGGTTGCCAAGCAAGGCTGTCCGCCATTTTTTTCCCCTTTTCTGGCAGGTGCCTTACCTCCCTTGGGCTGGGCCAGCTGGTGGCCCAGCCGGTGGTCGGCCTGCTCCGTCTCTGCCGCTTGCCAGCTAGGCCTTGGCCGGCGCAGGGGGTGGCACCACGCATGCGCGGTGCTCCCGGGCAGGGGAGGTCCTCGACTTACGATCGGTTGGGTAGTCCTCGACTTACAACTGGTTTAGTCCTCGACTTACGACCTGTTGGGGGTCGCGGCATTAAAAAGGTTGAGAACCACTGCTCTAGAATGCTATGATTGACTAAATGCCATCAATTCATTGTTGACTCTTAGCACCTATATAGATGGGTTTTCTCCAGGATGGTCTATCCCTAACCTGCTCCTTTACTTCTTCCAATGGTGCCCACATTGTCACCGTAATTGAGTCTTTCCACCTTGTTGGTTGTTGTCTTCTTCTCCTTCCTTCCTTCCATCATTTCCACCATCAGAGTCTTCTCCAGAGAGCTGGGTCTTCACATAATGTGCCTATATTTGGATAATTTGAACCCGGGAGTACTGTGACAAATAAGGAAACAGATCTGGCAAGGGTAGATAGGCTCACAGACCTGAGAAGGGGCAAGTGAGAGCGTTACATTGGAGTTGTATTCCAGAAATCTGAGAATGTACCTGTTCAAAACAGTTTTGAAAAACCCGTCCTCCATAGTTGTTTACATCCCTGGAGCCACCTTTGAGTTCAGCTTCTCCATGGAACAGCGAGTGATAGAAATGCAAATTGTGAATGAAATGTTAAAGGTAGCCATTTTAAAGGTAGCAAAAAAAAAAGCTATCAAAGACGCTCTCAGTGGTGGTGCGTTTTAAAATATTGTGAAAATAAAATAAGCAGGTGTTTAAAACAAACAACTCAGATCCTTTGTATTTGTAAGTGCCGTGTTCCACTATCATTATGGGCCAGAGAGATATTTAAGTCTGCAAATGAAACACCTACCTGGGAGTAATTCTCCACACACAAAGTGAGGCTTTCTTTCAAGTCAACACATATTAGACTCTGCTGCAAATTTCTGGCACATAATTACTTTATTCAGGCGAGGAATACAACAGGGAGCCTTGAGGTAGACAACACTGAAGATAAAACATCCCTCTAGGAGTGGCGTGATCAGTTAATCAGTTAACCTCGTTGGTCAATTTACGTTTTTTTTTTAAGTGAAAGGAATGACTCCTCTTTCTGTTCATTGCTGATGTTCTTCCCTGGGTCCCTTTCAGGGCAGCTCCTTCCAGCCACAATTGTGTTCAAACCCGGAGTGATGAACCAATGATTATATTCTTCACAAGTGGAACCACAGGATCTCCAAAGATGGTTGAACACTCTCAAACCAGCTTACCCTTGGGCTTGGCTCTACCTGGAAGGTATCCTTCTTAATGTTCTTGTACGTCTTGAACTTGACCCCAGCCAACCAGAATTTGGTCTCTTCTACCTGTCGGGGTTTCCTGAAAGGCCTCTGGAGAAGTGATGGCTCCAGATGACAATTGCCACCAAAGAACTGAGGATCTACAGAAAATTTAAGGCCACCTAAAATGAGGTGAGAACGAGTTTGTTCGAAGGGAATCCAGAATCCCATCCTGACTGTCTATATCTCACAGGTTTTGGCTGGACTTCAAACCTTCAGATGTCATGTGGAACATGTCCGATACTGGTTGGGTGAAGGTGTCTGTGGGGAGTGTCTTCGGCCCTTGGCTACGAGGGACCAGTGTCTTCATACACAGCATGCCACAGTTTGACCCAAAGGAGGTTCTAAATGTAAGAATGATACATCCAATCTTTGGGGGAATGTACAGTATTTTGACCTTTGACACCCTCAACCACCAACTCCTTCCTTGGTCCATCCGTCTGCTGCTTTAGACAGGAACCCAGTGATGTATTTTGGAAGCTTGGAACTGACTTCCAACAGAGGTAGTGGGTCAATCATTAGTAACTGAGTTTAAACATGACTTGGGATAAACACAGATCTATCGTCCAACAAAAATTAAAAAAAACCCTCAAAGGGCAAATTCAATGCAACATTAGGTCTTTTTCTGCCATCCGTTTTCTATGTTTCTATGTTTTATGAACCTAAAGTGAACAAGAATATCAACAGTTTTTTTTTTTTTAATGTATCAAGACTAGATATGGCACCTAGTATCCTGCTGGCTCTGAATTCCTTCACTATTGTCCCTGCTACATATTTATCATTTCTTCTTGACTTCCCCCAACTCCCCTTATTTCTTGCTTTTAACCATGCCAATGTTGCACTGCTGGATTTGTAGATTATTATCATTATTATTAAATTTACTTGCCACCTATCTCACCATGGGCTACTCCAGATCAGCAAAATCTAGAAAGTAATAGCTTCGCCAACCTTCAACCCAGGAAGAAGTTTAAAGAATGAGGAAGATGCAACTCCATCCTTTCATTTCTGTTTCTTCCTCCTTCCTTTTTTCTTCTCTCTAGACACTTTCCAAGTACCCAGTGACAACAATGTGCACTGCTCCAACAGCTTACCGCATGCTGGTGCAGGAGGATCTTAGCAGGTAGGTGGTTATCAGTTAACCCATCTGCATGATTGATGATTGATTGGTTGGTTGATTAACTGTGAGGCCAAAGGAATCTGTAAAAATAAAACCTTCAAAGAGTTTGCTGCTAACATATTGTCTGGGTTCCAACATGTAACTTACTAATAGATATTAAGTTCCTTTCTCTCTACCTTGCTTTTCTAGCCGTTGATAAAAGATATCCATATTCTAAAATAAACCGAATCTTCTTTCTCTTTCATTTTCAGTGTCAATCTATCCATTTCTGCACAATCTAAGATTTTTTTTAATTAATTCTTCCTCTGTTGGTAAATCTTCATTTTTCCAGTGTTGAGCGAACACAATTCTTGCTGCAGTTAATATATGTAGAATTAAATATATGCATTCTTTCTCGTAATTTCTTACCATTACGCCTAACAAAAATAATTCTGGCTTAAAATCTACATGTTTTTTTAGTCATTTTCTCTAACCATGTATGTATCTTTAACCGGAATCTTTTAGCTTTAGTGCCTGGTTTTTGTTTACATTTCCAACAATTGCTTGATATATTTTTAGACATTTTTGCTAACCTCACTAGTGTTAAATGCCATCTATAAAATATTTTATATAAATTTTCTTTGTACGCTACTGCTTTTGTTATTTTAGAATTTCTATCCCAAAGGCTTTGCCAGTTTTCTAGTTCTATGTTATGTCCAAAATTCTTTGCCCATGTTAAAGGACTACCTGTATATTTCTGTCAGCAATGTATTGAGTCCTTCCTTTCTCCCTCTTCAGGAAAACTTCAATTGCCCTTTGTACTAGTGGTTTATTTTCCCACTGGATTTTTTTTAATTTTGAGTTCTTTTTTTAACTGAGGAAAATAATTAGATTAGATTAGATTAGATTGCCTTTATTGTCATTTTTTATTGTGGGCACAATAGCACACATTAAAAATGAAATTTAGTTGCTTGCTCTAAAAGTGTACACATACATAACACAAAGTGATGAGTATCACTTCTGAGCATAATCCAATCTAAAAGCAACCCCAAAACTTTTTCCCCTGCTTTTTGTACCTCTCTTCTCTTGCTAACTTTCTTAACTTCTGTTTGTATAAACTTAAATTTTTAAAAAAATAAAGTGAAAAGGGAAGGGAAAATCTATACAAGCCTAGACAGACAGAGGCAGAAGTGCCAAGCAGCTAAAATTTGCAGGACAGGCTCTTAGTACACACAGCTTTGTCTAGCAACACCACCCAAGGCTGTCTCTGATTAGAATTTAAAAGTAGCCATCTCAACCTGCCAATAAAGAAGAATATTTGTAGCTCACTCAATGCTGATGATGTTACCTAGTTGGGTAATGAAACGTCTGCAAGAAAACTACCAAGCTCAGAGACCACCAAATACCCCTCATTATCCCCTGCTTAATGATAGACGCTCTGAATAACTATAGAAACCAATCTGTTTCTTCTTTTCCTCTGCATAAAGCTACACATTCAAGAACCTGTCTCACTGTTTGGCTGTAGCGGAACCAATGAACCCAGAAGTGGTGTCACAATGGAAGAAACAGACCGGGTTGCAAATCCACGAAGGCTATGGACAAACTGAAGTCGTATGTGCCTGATCATAAAAAGCTCCTTTCTCTTAACCAGGATTGTTAAGGACCCAGTGGCTAAAGGGGGTTAAATTTAGGGCCGAGATTTTATTGATACTATTTTTAATGGCTGAGCCTCTATGCAGTCCGTCTTATTAACTCACCGCGCAAGAGGTATTGTCTGAATCAAGAAACTGGGTTAATTTATTAAACAGGGACAGTCTGTGGGGCGATCCCAACTTTACAGTAGAGCAGTGCTTCTCAAATAGTGGGGCGGGCCCCCCAGGGGGGGCGCGAGGCTCCGTAAAGGGGGGCTCGTTTGACCTCGGCAAATACTGTCATATTGGATGCACGTGACACACGCAAAGGACCCGATTGGATAGACAGTCGCGCGGGGGGGCGCGAAATGTTTTCTTCTTCCTAGGGGGGCATGACAGAAAATAATTGAGAAGCACTGCAGTAGAGGTATCAGCTGAAGGCCATGGAGCTGCATGAAAAAAATGTAATTGGGAGCACCGCTCAAGGCATCAAAAAAGTTAAAAAGTTTTAAGTTGAGGACTACCTGTATTTAATGATTGGGAAATAAATACCCTTTGGAGGTACAGATATTGCATAGATCTTTAAACCAAATGTTTAAGAAGAACTGCAATTCCAGGAATATCCCAAATTCTTTGCTGCAGGGGATGGTAACGGCCAACAAAAAAGGGAGACCAGTTAAACCAGGCTCCATGGGAACTGCATTCTCATCTTACGACGTCCAGGTAGGACCAGGTGGGATCAACTCTGGAAGGTCTATTTAGCAGAGGAGGAAAACATGTATTTGTTGGGGGATGGTTGTTTTGTTTTTTAACTTCTCCACCAACTTCCAACTAATAGAAGGCGAACAGCGGTAAGTAGGATCAGGCCAGGATAGGACTTAGATCTGAGAACCCAGGACAGTGATGGCGAACCTTTTAGAGACTGAGTGTCCAAAAACTGCCCCGCCTCCTGGGCCGCCCGCCCGCTCCACCTGCCCGCTCCACACCCACTCCTCCCCCTGCTCTGCCCCGCCCACTCACAGGGCCACGCACCACCTCCACGGCCCACTGCATATCGCCCAGGCGTCCCCTGTAGCGCCATGGCAGCCACGCCCTCCACCCACACCCAGCAGCAGCATCCACACATGTCGGGGCGTGAAGGCGGAGTCTTGTCCCTACTGCCTGGCTGCCATGTTCTTGGCTGCACTGTTCCACGCGGGCCACGCCTGGGGGCGACTCTCCAGGGGGGCTGCTAGTGACGAGGGGGCCGCTGGGGGAGGCAGGGCTGGGGCAACGGCGCATGTGCCCACAGAGAGGGCTCTGAGTGCCGCCTCTGGCACGCGTGCCATAGGTTCGCCACCACTGACCCAGGACATCCCAGGATCGGAGGCCGATCTGAGATAAATGAAAAAAGAAATGAAAAAATATTTGAAATTAAAGTTGGAAGCCCGCTTCTCTATTCTTGTCAAGAACATGATACGAACGGGCCCCCAAAGTCAGCAGGAATTTGGCTCCTTTGCTCCCCCTTAACCTTAACTCTTCCTTCATCTTCCTTGCCTTTCTTTCTAGATTGTAGATGAAGAAGGTAAGATTTTGCCCCCTGGACAAGAAGGAGACATCGCTATCAGGATAAAACCCAAACGCCCTTTTAGCTTCTTCTCTCGCTATGTGGTAAGCAAGAAACTTAGGAGAGTAGCCTGATGCGTCAATCTAAATCCAACCAAAATCTTGACCTCCTTCACTCAATTAGCACGGAAGTAACACAAACGTTAGCTCTAAATTGGATTGTGGACCCTGGAGAAGGAAGACTTTGCTCCTTTCCCAACAGGGCATACTTTAACCACAATCCTCCTGTTCCCGTGTTTTGAATTAATACATGAATGTCATTTTGTTAATATCCAGGACTCCCCAGAAAAAAACTCAGCAGTTGTCCGGGGAAATTTCTACATCACTGGTGACCGAGGCTGGATGGACGAAGATGGCTATTTCTGGTTTATTGGAAGATCTGATGATGTCATCATCTCCTCTGGGTAGGTCCATCTCAACAGATCTTCAACAAAACATGCAAAGGTGGGAAAGCATCACAAAGTTATCCTTAGCATCATCTGGGTCTTGAAGGAACCTGTTGAGCATTGATTTCCTTTAGATGTAAACGTTGGCCAACTCCTGCTCCTTCGTGGTGACTTCTGATAAACCCCACATAGCTAGTAAAGATCAAGGAACCCAGATTTAGCAGAGATCCCATAGAATTGGAGGTAAATAAGGAATCTGGGAAAGGAGAGGGGAATTGCTAACCCTGATTTATTATTTCATTAACCTGATTATTAAAATATTAAAGGCAATATTAAAGTGGAATCTCTTTGAAGATGTGAAATATTTCTTCTCAGTTCCTTGTTGCCACCTAGACTGAGACAATCAACGAACAGCCTCCAATCTTTTGATTGCTTATTTCTAATATTCTTTTGTTCCTTGTTCATTTTTTTACATTTCCAATCCTGGCTTGGGGATCTCTTTTCCCATCTAATCCAATCCAATCTTGCTCAGCTTTTTGAACTAAGTCAAGATCAGCTAAGGAGCAGCCCCCAAAACTGGGCAGTCAAACTGTGATTATATTTAAATATACAAATTTTGATTTTGTTCTGGGTCCCATCCGCCAAACGCCACTCCTCCATTCAAAGTCATACGGGTGCCATTTAGACAATAATTTGGTTCCCTCTTCCCCAGATACCGCATTGGCCCTTTTGAAGTAGAAAGTGCTTTGATTGAACATCCAGCAGTGGTTGAATCAGCCGTTGTCAGCAGTCCGGATATAGTCCGAGGGGAGGTAATGAAGCTTTTGTGTAAATCTGCAAATTAATTGTGGGTGTTCCAACCTTGGAGGTTTTTAAGAAGAGATTGGATTACCGCTTGTCTGAAATGGTGTATAGGGTTTTCTGGCAGATCAGGGGATTGGATTAGAAGACCTCAAGGACCCTTTTATTCTGTTCTGCCTGCTTAGGTGCTACTAGAAAAAGTTGGATCTATTTTTATTGCTTTAATAATTGTACTGGGTGCCTATTTAAGAGTCTGTCCTTGCATGATGCCTGGTATTTGCTTGAAGATCTGTGAAAACCCAAGTTTCCACCCGCTTTTTAACAACAAGAAGAAGAAGAAGAAGAAGAAGAAGAAGAAGAAGAAGAAGAAGAAGAAGAAGAAGAAGAAGAAGAAGAAGAAGAAGAAGAAGAAGAAGAAGAAGAAGAAGAATAGTAGTAGTAGTAGTTGGAAGGGACCTTGGAGGTCATCTAGTCCAACCCCCTGCTCAGGGAGGAAACCCTAGACCATTTCAGACAAATGGCTGTCCAGTCTCTTCTTAAAAACTTCTAGTGTTGGAGCATTCACAGCTCCTGAAGGCAGGTTGTTCCCCTGGTTAATTGTTCTAACTGTCAGGAAGTTTCTCCTTAGCTCCAGGTTGCTTTTCTCCTTGATGAGTTTCCATCCATTGCTTCTTGTCCTGCCTTCAGGCGCTTTGGAGAAGAGCTTGACTCCCTCTTCTTTGGGGCAGCCCTTGAAATATTGTTTTCATAAAGAACTTGTCCGCTTTTTGTCTCTTGAAAAGCAGCCGTTACAGGCAAGTTTTGTTTTCCAGGTAGTAAAAGCATTTGTGGTGTTGTCCCCCGAGTTTGCTTCACACAACCCAGAGAAACTAGCCTGTGAGCTGCAGGACCACGTCATGAAAGTGACAGCTCCCTACAAGTATCCCAGGAAAGTGAGTGTTATTGCAAGGCGATCCTGAATCATACAGAAGCCCGCTCTGGAGGATCACAGAATAACAAAGCTGGAAGAGACCCTGGAGGTCTTCTAGTCCAACCCTCTGCTCCGACAGGAGACCCTATTTCAGACAAATGGTTGTCCAATCTCTTCCTAAAAATCTCCAGTGTTGGAGCACCCACAACTTCTGGGAGGCAAGGAGGAGGTGTGTGAAATGTTCCCTCCCCCCATGACCACTCCTCTTGGAGAGACTACTTGTCACCTACACAGAATTAATCCTGCAGCAGTGATGCCCTTATCTTCTCCTGTCCCAATCTCTTTTTTAAAAAAACTCCAGTGATGAAGCAGCTGCAACTTCTGGTGGCAAGCAGTTCCAACGATTAATTGTTCTCCCTGTCGGGAAATTTATCCTTAGTTCTAGGTCGGTTCTCTCCCTGGTTACTTTCCATCCATTGCTTCTTCTCCTGCCTTCAGGTGCTTTGGAGAATAGCTTGACCCCCCCTCCCCTCCTCTTCTTTGTGGCAGCCCCTCAAATATTGGAACGCTGCTATCGTATCACCCGTAGTCCTTCTTTTCACGAAAGACCCTTTTGGCTGCCGATTGGGAACTACTTCAATATCTCTAGCCTTAGGAAGGAAGTAGCTATGATTCTTTTCTTTTTTTCTTTTTCAATTCCATAAGGTGGAATTCGTGCAGGCGCTGCCCAAGACAACCAGTGGCAAAATCAGAAGGAACGAACTGCGAAAATGGGAATGGGGTCAAATGTAGTTCCGCGTCAGTCTTGCATCCCGTCACCGTTTGCAGAAAGATCCGCGGGCAGACTTCTTCATGTCAAGGTTGCATTTAAAAAGCCGAAAGCCGAGCAGCTTCACCTGGGTCTGGTGAAGTGTGTAACTTCTGCGTAACGTTCCCCAATTCCTCAAAATAAATAGGCCAATCAGTTTGAGAGGTCCTCGCTTTCTGAACCGGGGACCCTGGCGTGGAGTGAATCACTTACAAAGAGAAGGGCAATTAAAAAAAAAAAAAACAGAAGCAAAGAACACGTGTTAGCCAATCTGTTCCAAACCAAAAGGAGGTCAATTTAATAGAAAACAACATACAAAAAAGTAAGAACACACATACAAACTGGGAAATGTTATACCCCTGCAAAGATGTTATGCCGTGAACGTTTATTTTCAAACAAGGAATTCCTCCCAGAGATTTTTGTCTGGGTTTTTTTTTTTTTCTTTAAAGGTAGCAAAGGCCAATGTCTGCAGACTCCCCCATTTCCTCTCCTTGACACCCCCACAATAATTAGGAGTTTGAAGCATTAGCTTGTCTTTCTAACCATGTAACTGCAAAGAGAACATTTTTAAACAGAAGATGTATCTTTCCCCAAAAGTCCCGCTCGGCTAATATTTTACAATTTGCTTCAGATAGTTAAGAAGATTCTCTACAAACAGACCCCTAAAAGTTCCTCTAGGGTCAATGATGTTAAAAGAGCTACAGAAGAAACCTGAACATGTTTCCAAATCAGAAAAAGCACCAGAACGTTAGTCTACCTATTCTCCTAGACGAGGGATCGCCAAAACTGGCAATTTTTAAGACTTGTGGACGTCAACTCCCAGGATTCACGCTTGGCTGCTTGAGGAATTCTGGGAGTTGAAATCCACAGGTCTTAAAAGTTGCTAAGATTAGAGATCCCCGTCGCGGACTGAACGGCATCTGAAGAGGTGCTGTTTTGCCAGAGTGGTTGGAATACCAGATCCCCAGCTCAAGAGGAGACGATCCCTTCTCCAGTCATGCTAGACTTCACATCAGGATGCTGGCAGTGATCACACGAAAATCTGGCAGTAAACACTTGTCATAACTTACTTGGGAATATTATACGACTTGGAAACACCAAGTTGCCGAGGATGAAAAGTTAAAAACCACCTTGCAAAACTATAAGAGTCTAGTTGACCTGCTTACTCCTGAATAAGTAAACCTGGGAGCTTTTCGTCATGATAATCAGAACAGAAAGAGGCAATTTTAAAACCTCCATTAATAGCCCAATTGTTCTAGGATCAGCTGCTTCTACTCCCAACCTCAGGCATTGTTTAGGAACGATCTACCCCTCCCCAACACACACACACATACCACTTCCCACCTCCGAATCCTGGCTGCATTTTTGCAGTTTTAAGTTTAAAAAGGTGGAACATTGGGCCAACACTCCAACTGGAAGAAAAGAAAGCATAAACGTTTGGCTGGTCAGCATAGTGTCTTTTAGTCCTAAGGACTCGTAAAAGGGTCAGGAAAAAGCTAGCCGTAGTTTGATCCAGTTACAATGATCTGTTCTGTCTGTAACACTAAACCCTAAGGCAGGGGTGTCCATCCTTGGCAGCGTTAAAAACTATGGACTTCAACTTCCAGAATAGCTGACTGGGGGGAGGGGTTCTTAAAAGTTGCTGAGGCTGGACACCCCTGATCTACAGGTTGTGAAAATCACGTCTTGCGTCGTTCAGCTGGAAACCCCCCCACCCCAATCCAGAATGACTACTATAAACAAGGCAGGAATGGTGGGAAAGAGTGCCTTAGGCATAGCCTTGAGACAAACCAGCTGTGCTTTAGCCAAATCACCTAGAGTCTTTAAAAAGACAAGTTAAAAGCAAAACAAAAACAAGCATCAACCCCTGATTTAACAACCGGTCACCCATCCTGCAGATTTCCCTTTTTCTTCTCGGCTCTTTCATTCAGGCTCCTAGTCCTCGTGATTGTCGTTGGCGGCGGTCTCTGTCTTGCCTTGGCGCTCGTTTTGGTTTTCCCTCTGTGCTTCGGGTGTCTTTGCTCCGGGGGTGTCATTCTCAGGGGGTGCTTTAGGAGCTTCTGGCTGCCCCTCGGCTTTGATTTTCACCACCTCTTGAAGGTTGTACTTTCGAAAGAGAACGTAGTCCTTCACCACACTCAAGCAGCAGATGTTCTTGATGATCTCCACCACAACGGTGTATTCAGGGTTACTCAGGTCGACCTTGTTTTCTGGGTTGAGGTGGCCCACAATGCCTGCAAGGCAGCGATGGAGAAAGAAGGCTGGGAATTATTGCCTTAAATTTAATTTCGTAACTGGTGAAATGATAGAGAGATGTTTTGTTTTACCGTCTTAAGGAGATTCTCAGTCATCCAGGTCACGGCTGTCCCAAGGGTGCTCATTTCAAAAGGCAACTGGACTTTGTGTTTCCTTGAACACGTTTCGTTTCTCGTCCAAGAAGCTCCTTCAGTTCTTCAGTCAGGACTGAAGAAGCTTCTTGGTCGAGAAGCGAACGTCTTCAAGGGAAAACAAAGTCCAGTTGCCTTTTGAAATAAGTGTTTTGGGTTTTTTTGTAATGTTTTGTAAATTTTTATCTTTGTCTTTCCTTCCCTTCCCCCCCCCCCCCGGTTCTATTGTTGAGTATCTTTAAAAAGAAAACCATCTTTAAAAAACAGCGGCTTTATGGGAAGGAAGAGATTGCACTGGGTGTGTTCTTAGAAATAACTTTTGGATTGGTGATCTGCTTGAAGTTTGAGGTATTTTGGTGCTCTTTTCACCCAAAATTGCATTGTGAGACAACCTGGTCTTCTTCGGGCATTTTAGACAGAAATTCCCATCAACCAGAAGCCTGGCCAACGGTCAGAAATTTTAGAATATAACCATGCAATTCCCACCGAGTTTCTGAGCCATGCCTGGCTCTGTAAAACATCTCAAAGGCTACCCAAGCAATGGGGGAATAAAATGTCTGATTTTTGTGCACTGGGAAAAATGGACGATCTAAAGCAGGGGTAGGCAACCTTGGCTCTTTTATGATTCGTGGACTTCAACTCCCAGAATTCCTGAGCCAGCAATGCTGAGGGGAGAGGTTTCCAAGCTGAGCCATGCTGGCTCAGGAATTCTGGGAGTTGAAGTCCACGAGTCATAAAAGAGCCAAGTTTGAAGACCCATGGGCTTGACAATAATAGAACTGGTTGGTCATTCTCTTCTTCTAGAGCAGGGGTAGGCAACCTTGGCTCTTTTATGGCTGGTGGACTTCAACTCCCAGAATTCCTGAGCCAGCCACGCTGAGGGGAAAGGGAGAGGTTTCCAAGCTGAGCCATGCTGGCTCAGGAATTCTGGGAGTTGAAGTCCACAAGTCATAAAAGAGCCAAGGTTCCTTACCCCTGATCTAAAGAGATGAAGTGAGCGCATTTTGCGTTTCTGCAAGGCTTAAGGAAGCCATGTTGCCTTTTTTTGAAAATCCACTCACCCCCTCCCACTGAAAAATCAAACAGAAATAGCAGCATTGATACGCTCACTTCTGGAAGTGAGGATCTAGATGCAGCTTTTAGGGTGCCCTGGTTGAAGCCCTTGTTAGATTGCAAAAGGAACATAAAGCCTTTCATCCTAGTTCTGAAAGCACTGCAGATCTGCCTTGGATGGAGATCTTCTCTAAAAGAGTTTGCCCTTTTGTTTACCTGCCAGCTCTTTTATGACTTCTTCCCTGCTGAGGTGGCTGTTATTTCGAGCCTTGTAAACTATCTGGAAAGTGCCCTTCCTGGGGCTTTTGAACCAGGGTTCGAAAAAGGTCTCTGAATACCGCTTCATGTCTTCGAGAAAGGCTTTGCAGGTCCCCGACACAGGCAGCATGCGCAAGATGACTCGGGTCTTCTTCTTTTTGGTGGCGTGCATGTCCTTCAGAATGTGGTGGACCAACGTCTCGGGTTCTGCAAGGAGACACGAAGGGAGGTGATTTCGAGGGTGAGAAGCACAGTCCTTTGACACCTCTGCTTTAGATGTTTTGGTTATTTTTTATTCTTTTCTAAGCCACTTGGGCTCTTTTAGGGAGGGCGATGTGTAAATAAAATTAGGGATAAAACAAATCATAGTCATTTGGTTGACAAACTCTTTGCCGCATACCAACACCCAGCGTTCGAATGAAAACCACATTGTTAGCCCCGCTCTCCACCGACTGGAACCGACGCTGCTTCTGTTCCGTGGAGGTACGAATCTGATCCACTTCTTTTTTCAAAGCCGCTTCGGCATCATCTTCCTCCTCTTCTTCCTCCTCCTCATTCCCAGAGAGACTGTCCTCATTTCGCTCTGCAAACTTAGCACAGGCAAAAGTACACAGAGGTAGCCCCTGACTTACGACTACAAGGGAGGCCCAAATTTCCATTGCTAAGTCAGTTAAGTGAATTTTGCCCCATTTTACAACCATAGTTAAGTGAATGACTGCAACTGTTAAATGAAACTGTCATTAAGCAGAATATCTGGCTTTCCCCCAATTGACTTTGCTTGCCGAAAGCCGGCTGGGAAGGTTACAAGGGATGGTTACATGACCCAAGGGAAGTGCAACCTTCCTAAATATAAATATGTAAGTAGAATAGAGCTGGAAGGGACCTTGGAGGTATTCTAGTCCAGCCCTCCAGGTCAAGCAGGAGAACCTATACCACATATCTATCTATCTATCTATCTATCTATCTATCTATCTATCTATCTATCTATCTATCTATCTATCTATCTATCTATCATTATCTCTCTCTCTCTCTGTGTGTGTGTGTGTATGCGTGTGTGTGTATATATATATATATTGATCATGTGACCCTGGGGATGCTAAAATGGTTGTAAGTGTGAAAACCAATCATATGTCACTCAGTGCCGTTGTAACTCCGAACAGTCATGAAATGGGTGGTTGTAAGTCGAGGACTCCCTGTATTGCAACATTTTTACCTTTTCCCCCTTGAGGCACGGTGGCTGAGGAACTCTGGGAGTTGAAGTCCACAAATCATAAAAGGGCCAAGTCTGAGGGCCCCTGCCCTAGAAAAACACCCGTCCCACCATCCCACAAGCAAGCAGAAAAGCAGGGGCTCTGTAAACGTCGTGGAACTACATTTCCCAGCATTCCTACCGGCCCTTCGCTGAGCGGGAATCCTGGGAGCTGTGGTCCCGAGCGTTTGAGGCGTCCCCGGGAGAGACAACCAGCCAGGCCGCGGCCTCACCTGCTCGGGCCCGTAGAGCTGCTCTCCGTACTCGCCCAGCAGGCTGTAGGCTTCAGCCACGCACTTGCGCTCGTTCATGTTGCAGGTGATCAGGATGCCGCACATGCCGGCCTCCAGCGGCTGTCGCCGCCCGCCCGGCCGGGCCCGCTTGGCCGCCTGCACGTACTGCCCTTTGGGCGGCCGTCGCTTACGCGAGGCCGAGGCCGCCACCACCGGCGGCGTCTCCACGGTAGCCATGGGGAGGCGGAGGGTGGCGCAGGCGCAGCAAGGTGTCACAACCCGGACGGCGGGCCTTGATGGCGTCATCCGACCGCGCCCGGAGCGTGTGGGTGGTAAAGACCGCCAAGATAAGAAACGGTAGAGGGCGATTTCACTATAGAGTCGGAGTGCAGCAATTCAAGAGAGGATGCTCAGCTGCTGTGGCTCCAGCTAGTGGCCGTTCCGAGTTCTGCAGTCCAGATCTGATGTGGGACAGACAAGAATGCATTGAACTGAAATGAACTCAAAAGGACACTTTGTGCAATAAAACGAGAGAGAGAGAGAGAGAGAGAGAGAGAGAGAGAGAGATTAAATGGTAGGTAGGTAGATAGGCAGACAGACAGATGAGAGAGGATGGATAGATAGATAGACAGACAGATGTATCGATGGATAGAAGATAGATAGATAGATGGATAGATAGATAGATAGATAGATAGATAGATAGATAGATAGATAGATAGATAGATAGATAGATAGACAAACAGACAGACAGACGGATCGATGGATGGAAGATAGATAGATAGATAGATAGATAGATAGACAGACAGACAGACATGGAGAGAAAACAGGTAGATAGATAGATATAGAATGAAAGAGAGCACGCACAAATCCAAAAGAGGTTCACAAGGATAAAAATTCTTTATAATCCCTTCCTTCCAAAGCAACATTCAACAGCAAAGGCAAGAAAAACTTAGAAAAATCCCTGTTTGAATAAAGATATCTAAAAAGCATAGAAAGCCACAACATTAAAAGACACAATTATTTATCTTTATTTACGTGCAGTAAAAAATCAAAGGAAAAGATGGAAAAGAAAGAAAAGCATGCAAGAAAAGAAAAAAAAACCGAAACACACTAAGTTATGAAATCTAGGGGTATTTCCAGCTGTTTCTTCAACTGATAATTGCAATCTTACTGTCTTCTAGATGAAGAAGCAAAGATTAACAATATTTCTGCAGCCAGACTGTGCAGTAAGTGGAAGCATGCATGGTGAAAGTTAAAGCAACCCAAAGAACCAACCAAGAAATTCACAGGACACTTTTCTGGAACAGTCCTTTATCAGAAAGGGCATATGGTCTCTGTAGTCTTGCCCATAACCCTTTTCTCCAACCCTTTCCATCCATTCTGCAATTTCTCTGCTATCTGGCCCTGGTGGAAGCTTACAGATTGCTTCAGAGATGCTTGACCAGTTTTCCCCTTGTAGCAAAAATGCCTCTATGAGGGTGTGACTTATTCTGTCCTTCACTCTTAGGAAAAAAACCACGTCCTTCTCTGAACAGTTTCCAAGAGGACAAGAGACCTGTTTCCCAGAGAAGTTTGCTTTGGCTCTCTTTACCTGGCTGGGATTAGCTTCCTACAGCTCCTGTAAAGAGGTGGGGGCTAAGGGCAGCTGCTTTTCAAATCATCGAGAAGAGGGCATTCTTTGGGGGGGGGGAACCCCAGAATCGGAATGGCAGGTACCTGTTGAATTTTCAAGGAGGTGAGAGAATAATAAATCTAGCTCTTCGTGTTCAGAATTATTCTTATTGCAATTTTTTTTATGCATTTGTGTCTTTGCTTATGCTCGTGGTTTTGTGGGCAGATCAAGCTGAGACCTACTTAGCAGGTAAAGGTCACTCAATGAACGTAGGACTGGAAAGATTTCAGTTTGAGTTTTCTGTCTTTCCAGATACACTAACTATACTAGACTCTGGATCAGAGAGGTAGAAATACCTTTTGTTGGCTGTGGATTGCAGGCTATTAAGAAGGAAATTGGTTTCCAAGATGGCATTTAACACTCTGTTGTTTTTCTTGGCTGCTTTTCAGCACTGCTTATGTTTTAGATTAAAAATAACTTTTGTCCATTAAGCATCATATGCCTTGGTGCTGGCTGAGGAATACTGAGAGTTGAACAATTAACCAGTGGAACAACCTGCCTCCAGAAGCGGTGAATGCTCCAACACTACAAGTTTTTAAGAAGAGACTGGACAGCCATTTGTCTGAAATGGTATAGGGTTTCCTGTCTGAGCAGGGGGTTGGACTAGATGAACTCCAAGGTCCCTTCCAACTTTATTATTATTATTATTATTATTATTATTATTATTATTATTATTATTATTATTATTATTATTATTATAAATCTTAAAGTTGCCAAGGTTGAGGACTCCTGATGTATTGGATGGTGTAATATTGGATTTAGTTTGAAGAAGCTTACAGAATTACTAATGGAATCACGTTGTCTATTAAGCACTTGATTGTAAAAAGAGAAAATTAATGAAATATTTATTTAAAAAAAGAGAGTACGAGTAGTCCTTCACTTACAACCACAGCTGAATTTCCATTGCTAAGCAAGGCAGTTGTTATATGACTCGCACCTTATTTTAACAACCTTTTTTTCCCAGTTTGTTCAGGGAAAGATGGGTGTTGTAAAGCAAACCCAAGCCGTCAGTCAGTGAATCTGGCTTCTCCTCCTGACTTTCTCTATCGCAGTGGTTCTCAACCTTTCTAATGCCGCGACCCCATAATACAGTTCCCCATGTTGTGGTGACCCCCAACCACTTATACATCACCGGGTGCCAGGGGCGTGGCCAAAGAAAAGGGGGAAAAAATGGCGGACAGCCTTGTTTGGCGACCCCCGTGAAATGGTCGTTCGACCCCAAATGGGGTCCCGACCCACAGGTTGAGAACTACTGCTCTATCGGAAGGTCGCAAATGTTGATCACATGACCTGGGGATGCTGCAACCATTGGTTGCTAAGCACCCAAATTTTGAGCACCTGACTCTGGGGATGCTGCGATGGTCATAAATTTTGAGGGCCCGCCGTAAGTCTCTTTCCCCCCCCCCTCAGTGCCGCCAAAATTTAGAACGGTTGCTAAATGAATGATTGTAAGCTGAGGACTACCTACAACAGATAGTCCTTTGTTGTGAGACCAGCAGCAAATTTCATAAATAGATTAATCCATAAGGCTGTGCCTAGCTACAAGAGCACTGCTTGCAAATACTTAAATTACAGCCTTAATACTTGATCTTTGCTGCAAATGAGTCTGGATTGCACAGTACAAACATCGGGGCTGAGACTGGCAAGTTAATTCAGACATGGGTGCAAAGACAAATCTTAGTTCTGTCCATGTTGGACTACAAACCCTGTTATCTCTGAATCTGCCCTTTGTGGCTGATGGGCGTGAGGGCTTTGGCAACAATAAGTCCTCAATTTCCATGTTATTACTGTGAAACATGGACAGCGTAATCCTGTAACCTCCAAGCTACTTAAACAAGCTAACCGCCACGTCTGCATGCTTGCAATTCCTCATCTTCTTGCAATCATTCTTGCTGGCACTAAGCTTTGGTTTGTTTTTTTTAATGTTGAAATTCTCAGGGAGTGTCAGAGTAGGGTACAAAACAAGATTAATTAAAAGCAGAAACGGACACGTCAAGGAAATGAAGTCTTACTCTGCCCCGAGAAGGCTATAAACAATCAGAACGTTTTTTTTTTTCATTCTATGTTTCAGATAGGTGGTGATTGACAGAAAACAGGCGAAACAAAGAACCTGGGGAAGAAAAGATCATGGCTTATGTCACTTTGACAATAAGGTGTCAAGGCCCAGCTGCGAGGATTTTGCGGTCTCTCTGCCTTGTTTCTTCCAGAAGCTTCAGCAAGGGCAAAACTGCCTCAGCGGCTCAAAATTTTACAGACTACAAATCCATTTGCGAGCAGTATAAGCCGGAGGTGCCGGAATATTTCAATTTTGCCAAAGATGTGGTGGATAACTGGGCCCAGTCAGAAAAGGTATCATTTTTTCCCCCATCTTTTGCGCCAGTGATCACCTTTAAGGGATCCCCTGTTGGGGGAATACAGGTGGTCCTCGACTTAATGATTGCCATGAAATTGAGCCGGACATTTCTGTTGCTAAGTGAATTACACCCTTTCTTGCTACCGCTCTTAAGTGAATCCCTGCAGTTAGTTGTTAAGAAGTCAATTCTTTCTCTCCCCAAAGGCCACGTTCATGTCCACGTTGTTGCACGTAGCTATTACACCCTGGGCAGAATGCAGCAATTGCTCTCCAGATCTGAGCAGATCCACTCATGGCTGACTTCTCCCCCCCTTTGTCCCCAGGAAGGAAGGCGCCTCTCCAGCCCTGCTCTTTGGTGGGTCAGTGAGCAAGGGATCCAAGTGAAGTGGAGTTTTGAGGAGCTGGCCTTGGAGTCCAAAAAGGCCGCCGCCCTGCTGTCCGAGCGGGGTGGCCTGGGGAAAGGAGACCGCGTGGTGGTGATTCTCCCTCGCATTCCCGAATGGTGGCTCATGAACCTGGCTTGCATCCGAATAGGTGAGAAGGAACGATGTCCACCCATCCGCCTGAGTTTTTGATTGAATGGAGGAGGAGATCCTTCTGGACAGGCAACCAGAACTTATCTCTTTTCTGTTGGCATCAGCTAATACCTTGTACCGGTGTTTCTACTTTTAAGATGTGTGGATTTCAACTCCTGGTTGAGAAACATGGCATTATATATGTGTATATACGATATATGTGGTTTTTCTACCCCGCCCACCCACCCACTCACTCACTTTTTCTCTCGCTTATCCTTGCTGTTCTCTGAGCTTGGTTATTTTCTTTTTGAGACATTTCATTACCCAACCAGGCCACATCATCAGTACTAGAACTGACAATGTTACTTGATGACCTAGTTATCTAGTTGGGTAATGAAACGTCTGCAAGCTCAGAGACCAGCAAGGACCTCATAATGTTCCACCTTCTTCTCCTTTCTCTTCTTCTCCCCTTCTCTTCTTTCCTCCTGTTTTCTATTCCTTCTCTTCTTTCTTCTACTTTGCCTTCTCCTCCTCCTCCTCCCCACAAATCCCATTCCTTTCTAGTGCTGATGATGTTATCTAGTTGGGTAATGAAATGTCTTCAAGCTCAGAGACCAGCAAGGACCCCACAATGCTCCACCTTCTCCTCCTTTCTCTTCTTCTCCCCTTCTCTTCTTTCCTCCTGTTTTCTATTCCTCCTCCTCCCTCTTCCTCCTCTCTGCAATCCCCTCTCCCTTCTAGCACTGATGATGTTATTTAGCTGGGTCATGAAACGTTTGCA